ATCACTGGCCAGAAGAAACTTCTCAGGGACATTCACTGAGCCCCTTACATTCAAGTCCTGAATCACAGAATTCACAGTCTTAACACTAGAAACACAATTAGATCCTATTTTCATTTTCTATTTGACTAGGCCTAGAGACCCTAACTCTACTTAAGAAACCAACACACGTGCACACATGCACACACACGCATGCGTGCACAGGCATGCCAAGAGTTACAGAGCAAACCAGAAACACATGCAATGTATTTGCTCATCAACCCTTAAGACCTACATGAATTGGGAAATTGACTCTCTGTAAACAGAGAGTAACAGGCCTGGGCTCCATGTCAACACGGTGAAGTCCACCGACTGCTTTGCTTTCTCTTTCCAAGGAAACACGGGTTCAGCACCACAGCCCGCATGTCACAAATGGCAGGCGACAGCCCAGCAGAGCAGGCACTGGTTTCACCACCCTGCTATTTAGAACCCACTTGAGATCATCTGTTAATTGCAACATCTCCTCACAGAGTCAGGAACCCCCTCCCAGCTACACCAAGGACGACGAGCAGCTCTTCTCCTAAGACTCACAGCTCACCGGGTCCATCTTGGCAGAGCCAGAGCTCAGGAGGCCAACAGACTGCAAGCCCACACCACCGCACCCGGCTCTCAGAAATTACCATTTCCCACCTACATCTGAAAGCGCTGATTTTACACATTTAAAACTCAGCTTTGGAACAAAAGCGCAAATGGTTTCTGGGTCAATATAAGATTTTGTAAGTAATATGACAGTAGTAATTATTAAATATACGTGTCATATATGCATGTGTGTTTACTGGGATGTGTATGTTTGTATCAAGGGATACAAAGCTCCTGTTAACATCCACTGCAACGTGAACCTGGTGCTGTAACCGCTCTGAAATGTTGCCGTTAGTTCTAACTATGGCAGTAATTTGATATATCAAAATTGGAGGCAAACTTTTCATCTGAAAATCACAACATTTTTAGGTTCATTTTCTCTTCCACATGGGCCTTTTGCTTTTGGATCTCTCTTTCTACCTCTCCTTCTCTCTCTCTCTCTTTCGCTCTCTCTTTCTCTCTCAATACCAGCTACCAAATATACGCCATATGCTACATACTGGCATGGTGCATCTGAACAAAAACATTTTTTCCAGCTAACTTTCAGAATCTGTTTAGCTGAGGCCAAAGTAAAGCTGTCACATCACTGCAGGCCAGTTTCAGCACCAGTGAATTTACAGATGTGTGATCATCATAGTGACTGGAGTAAAAAAACAGCTAATATAGTACAGTCGGCTATTACTTGTATATCTAACTTAAGCCGACAGTGGCCAAACAGCAGTGACCTTTTCAGAAGCTCTCTGAGCACCAAAGTGCAGGAATGATGAGCGTGGTATCGCCAGGCCAACTCCCTCCCTCAATGACAGGAGGAGGAAGGAAAGGTTGAGTAAGGCCCGTTTGTGAACGAGCTGTAACCCACAATACTGAACCAGAAAATTAGGTGGCAAGGGAAAGTCAAGGGCCTAGCAGCCATCCTGAGACTAGGAATGGGGGGCTCAGTTTGGAATCTGTCCCCCTAGGGTGTTGACGGATCCTCCAAGAATCATAATTGTGATGTTAACAAATGGCATCAGCAGCTACTGCTTCTGGGTGCTTGCAGAGAGCTAGGCAAGCCCTTTCATCCCTCTCATCTGGAGACTGGGCAGACCAGCACCACACCTAGAGCCAGGCCCCAAGGGCAGGATGGAGCACCGAGAACACATGGAACACACCAATCACTTGTGGGTTAACAACAGCAACAAAAAAAGTCAGGAGACACCAAATCCCAAGTGGAAAAGCACATTGAAAGCATCCTATTCCAAGCTTGCAAGTAGATGGCTTGGTGCCTGTAGCTCAAGCAGCTAGGGTGCCAGCCACATACACCAGAGCTGGCGGGTTCAAATCCAACCTGGGCCTACCAAACAACAATGACTGCTGCAACCAAGAAACAGCCAGGTGCTGTGGCAGGCATCTGTAGTGCCAGCTACCTGGGAGGCTGAGGCAAGAGAATCGCTTAAACCTAAGAGTTTGAGATTGCTGATTGCTGTGAGCTGTGATGCCACAGCACTCTACCCAGGGCAATAGCTTGAGACTCTGTCTCAAAAAAGAAACATTTAGTGGATGGTCACTTCTTTACCTCACTGAGGAAGCACATTGTCCTAAGTGCAAAGGGACTTGGGGTGGTTTGTGAGCTCCACATGAAGAACGGCTCCCACCCGGCCCCAGCCGCCTGGGGTCTCTGCTACAGGAGCCTCTGCCAGCCCCCATCCCAACCTGAAACAAAGGGTCGCAATACATTTCCCCCGGGGAAATATCATAATTCTATTGGCCTGTTTCCCTCCTCCTGCTGTCTCCATCTGCCCATCTGCCTTGCACCACCTCCCAGGCCTTCGCAACTTAAAACACAATATCCATTTTTCCTGGGACCTAAAGAGCTGTGTGTGATGTAGCCCAAGGCCACCCAAGGGGACTTTCTGTGGGGCTGGAACACTGCAGACCTGTGCCACCCATTGTGGAGACTCTCCCCACACCGAAATGTAGCCAGTACCCCGGAGGAGCTAAGTCCTTGATTGTGTTTATTCTAATTGACTTAAATTTCCAACACACACAGCTGCCATATTGAGATGCTGACTCAGACTCACTCCACTGCCCCACGGCCTCCAGGGGCAGATCCCCTCTGAGCCAGGGCCCTGCACACACTTCCCTCCCATCCCCATGTGCCCCACATCCAGGGTTTGGATCAAAGCACAGCCATCTGCCCCTCATCAAGATGCTCCCTTCTCTTCTAGTTGCCCTCCCTAAACCTGACCTCTTCCTTAGGGCTACTCACCACACCTCAAAATGTTATAGTGACATGAGAGTTCCCCTCAAGATGCTGACTCTCCCAGACCTGCACACCCCATGAGGCAGAGCACTCTCCACCCACATGCATGCCCCAGAATTGTGTGCAGAACTGGCTGCTGGAGTGGACCGATATCTGTGGCCCAACCATTCTGTGGGTTAAGTCAAGCTTTGGAGAAATGAGTTGAGACTCTTAACCATCAAAAACTATCTTTCTGGCCAGTCAAGGTGGCTCTTAGCGCTCTGGGAGGCCAAAGTAGGAGGACTGCTTGAGCTTAAGAGTTTGGAGACAAGCCTGAGCAAGAGTGAGACCCTGTCTCTAAAAATACAGGAGGGTGCCTAGAGTCCCAGCTACTTGGGAGGCTGAGTAATGCAGGAGGATAGCTTGAGCACAAGAGTTGGAGATTGCTGTGAGCTAGGCTGATGACACAACACTCTAGCCTAGGGCAACAGAGGAAGACTGTATCTCAGAAAAAAATCCCCAAAACAAAAAAACTATCCTTCCAAGGAAATGTAGTCCTGCGGCCCAGAACACTAAACAAGCTCACAGAGCTGGTCTTTCTGCCTGCAGGTGCTGTGAACATAGCTGAGTCTCACCTGGAGGACAGGACAGTGGCCCCTCAGGGACTGCCAGAACATCACTGTCCTGGTATGAGGTGGCTCTCATGCACATCTGGGGTCTGCCAGGTCCACAGATATTGACCTAGGCCACAGATATCTGACCCTGCTAGAAGGGCCAGGGTTATGTGCAAGGGCTACAAGACAGTCATGTGTGTTTACTGCATTTAACATCCTAGGGAGGGCAAAATCTCTTCAAAGCAGGCTCCAAATTCTGGGCACCAACCTACTCCTGCCCTACGTGGCAGAAAGATCTGCCTGGTCCCAACCTCTACACAGACAGATGCCTGCACCACCACAGTGAAATGAGAAGGGGCCCAGCGGCCTGTGTGCTGCACAGAAGCCCCTCATTACACAAAGGGACATTCTAAAGACCCTCTGATCCCCAGGAAACTGTAGCCCTGGATGTCTGAAGGTGAACACACCTCTGGGAAAACACAAGGACTCCTCAGTGTGCAGTGCAGGGGATAGGGAGTGGTTAGGAAACTACTGTGGTTCTTTGAGCTGTTCTATAGGTTGGACGGAAATAAAGAGGCCTTTCCAATAGTTGCTTGTGGTGGACTGAATGTTTGTATTCCTCCCCCGCCCCATATATCCATATATTGAAACCCTAATCCCCACTGTGATAGCATTTGCAGGTGGGGCTTTTGGAAGGGAATTAGGGTTAGATGGGGTCATGAGAGTGGGCCCCACAATGGGATGAGAGCCCCTATAAAGAAGAATCAGAACTCTCTCCACCATGTGAAGATGCACTGAGAAGGCAGCTGTCCGTGAGCCTGGCAGAGCCCTCCCAGAGCCCACCCACACCTGCACCTCCATCTCCAACATCGAACCTCCAGAACGGAGAAAAGAAGTGTCTGTTGTTTCAGCCACCTGGTCTGCGATGTTTTCTTACGGAAGCCTGAGCTCACTGACGCAATCTATGAACACAAGGTGACCGTGTATGAATCACAGAGGGGATCATCTCCTCTAATAATGGGTCTGCCCCTAAGGAAACCTGTCCTCTCACCCACAAACCCAGGGTGCCTACCAAGAGTGCCGAGTAAGCACTGACTGCAGACCTCGGGGAAAGCAACACAGCAGAATGACTGCTCCCCAGATAATGGTGAGGAGGAGAGCCTCCTGCCCACCTGAGACACAGACATGACTATTACATCCAGAAAGATACACTCAAAAGATAGTCACTTGGCAGCAGGCTGCTCAGTGGTCAAAAAGAGTCTACTTGCTAAGACTGCCCTCCAGTCCTCTGGCCCTTCTTTCCTTGCCACACTGCCATCTGCCCACCCATCTTCTCCTCACCCACCTGCCAGCACTCCTGAGTCAGGAAACACAGGAATCAAGGTGGCGGTCCAGCATGTACACCATCGGGGGGCAGCACTGGGCCAGGAGACCCCACCCCACACACCCCCATCAATTCAGCCCTAACATTGAGTAAAAGGACAGCTACACGTGGAGCTTTCCATGTGACATTCTTAACACACTCAAAGAGCACCTGCACCCCAGCTTACCTTTCAGAGTTGGGAGCGGGCTCTCCTGCCCATCCAGTTGTCCCAAAGGATCATTTGGGTCCGGAACCTCTACTTCACCTAGGAAAAAGAAACCAGGATGCACATTTAACAAGTTTGCATTTCAGGAGCCTTTAATTTTCTTCTCATGCAAAGACAATGATATTCTAGCAAAACTGCCCCCTGTTTGTAGAAAATAGAAAGGGCTAAGACATTATGGGAGCTTCAAGAGGGCTTTTGTAGTATCAGATCTGAGGTAAGGGTAAAGCTGATTCTCAACACCTACCCCAATGCAAATGCCCTGCAGCATAAGCAGGTGAAGAAAACAACAGAATGAAGCCCTGGATTCCATTCAGGGATGGAGGGAGAGAGACAGACAGAAAGAGCAAGAGAGAGAAAGGAAGAAATTAAAGCCCTGGGTGGCAAAACTCGCACAGCCAAACTCAGCAGAGGGCCCCTGGTAATTAGGTAATAAATTCAGAATTGGAGACTCTCTTAAGCAATTCATTTCTCTCCCTGCCCCAGACTAGTGGGCAGCAGCCAAGCCTCTGTCTCACAAATGGAAAGGATATGAGGGGTACCAAGGCTTTTCATTTCCGGTCCACACGCATCCTGGCAAGGCATAAGGCATCCCTGACCAGCCATGCAGAGGTCATGTCTTTATTTAATCTCCCCACAAACTGTACTGCCCTCTGGGGGCACGCATAACACCCTGACCTGGGCTAGTGATTGCATTTTCATCTTCTCCGACACACGTGGACAGTTTGGGGACAGGAGGTGCTGCTCCCCGGGGAGGGGCCAGTGGTTCCATCATTAAAACCCGGCACTAACATGACAGAACACAGGCAGGAGTAAGCCATAAAAGGCAGACAATGGAGTTTTGCTAAGGAAGACCTCAGTTTGGGTTTGAAATTTTAAATTGGCATGCTACACATACTGTCACTCAGCACTGTTTAAATGCAGAAAGACCACATGAAATCAAATATACTTGCACTACGTACACACATTGAAAACAGACATCAAAGTTATTAACCACTCAGAAATTGACAAATGGTGTGAAACAGTCAAATAAATATATACCCCAAAGAAAAATAAGCTTCACTAGCCCAATTCCTCTGTGGAAAAGATTTCGAGCTCTTCCCAGCCAGCTTTTCATTCCAAAGCAGAGTCGATTTCACACGTGAAAATTCCACTTCCTCTACACGTCGGATAAGGTAAGTTCAAAAGTCCTATTGCTGAAATCCTTAGAATCAACACTTAAGCTTCAACAAAATCAGGCTCAGTTATTGTTTGCCAACTGAGAAATAGGAATACCACTTCTATTTTGAAGTTTTAAAATGCCATCTTCCTACACTATATAAAGTTTAGGCTCAAGGTGCTGTGGCCTCCTACAAATAATAAACAGAAGAACGTGGTAAGGAAGTATGTGAACTCCAGGGCAGGGGTGAGTGAGAACAGGGCCTGATGGCTTCAGCACTTCCCAGCTCTTCTGGCCCTAAAAAGGGCTAAGCATAAGCCCCACCACCATCAAATAAAACAAGAAACAACAACAAAAACTGCCACCCACACACACATCAAAAAGTTACACTCACTATCTGGGATTATAGGAAATTAAAATTTCTTGTTGCATTTCATTTTAAAATGCCTCTCCAGTGAACAAGGATCAATTTCTTTTATGGTGTGTGAGATATAATTCACACACCATAAAATTCACCATTTTAAAGCATACAATTTAGCGGTTTTTCGTATATCCTCAAGGTTGTGCAACCATCACCACCATGAAATTCCAGAACATTTCATCACCCTCCAAAAAAAACCTTGTTCCCGTTAGCAGTCAGCCTCCCCCACACCACCTTCCCAGCCCCAGTAACTGCAAGCCTGCTTTCTGTCTGTGTGGATTTACTTATTCTGGACACTTTATATAAATGGAGACATACAATGTGTAGCCTCTCAAACAAGCATCCATTTTATGATTAGATTTTTGAAAATGTTGCCCTGTCACAGAAGAACACTAGACCAGAGCCTGCTGTTCCTACATAATTAACAAACCAGGACATGGAATGACTGTGTTAGCACTGGTCAGACCTCTGCCCAGACCAAGGGCTCCAGGAGAACAGGACAAGGAGAACACACAAGTGCCCTGGGAAGTGACTGAGGGACGACAGAGAGAACGACCCAAACATGCAGGAGCAACAGGTGTGCATGGGGTGACACGTGACCACACAGCTGCTGCTGCTGCTACCTGAAGCCAGGAGACGATGGCCAAGACACAGAGGGTCACGGAGAATTTCAGTGCTGCCAGTTTAGGGCCACTATAACAGATGTCACACTGGGAACTCACCGGTGCATCTACAGGTAACACTGAGTGAACTACTCTGTGGCACCACGCCCTGCCTCAAGATGCCTGCCACCCCCACTCAGCTGCTGCCTGATTGCAGTCTGTGCGCCCAGGAACATCTCTGAGGTGCTTGTCCTGGGTCATGGTTTGCAACAAAAACCTGTTTGGTTTCCACCTGGTGAGGAGACCCTTGTACCCGACCCATGTCCTTGTGAGTTGACTGGATACAATTCACTGGGGTGATACAGATAAGTTGAGTGGGGTGACAGGGAGAGGGGGGCTACAGAAAGCCCCTGTAGCCTTCAGCGTGTAGATGCACCTGTGAGTTCTCAGTGTGACATCTGTTATGGTGGCCCTAAGCTGGCAAACAGAGCTCAAGAGGAAACTCGGCTGTCCCGACTCCTCTAGACCCCTACTCTAGGCAACTCGCATATCCTTCATTTTGGTAAAATCCTAGTAACTGTGCCCCATATGTCCATTAAGAATGTCATGCGTGTGACTGGCACAGCTGCCCTAGCTGTTCTCCACTGGACACATGTACAATTTCTCCCAGTGACAACGCAGAGTGAGGTAAAGTTCCTGAAGACCGAACTCTCTGGAGGCATCAGTAGGGAAGTCGTGATTTACAAAGCTCCTTAGTTATTTTCATGCTTAAAAAGAGAAAAACATTTAATATGAAAGAAAGATTTAAGTGCTGGTTATAATGGAATGATGTTACATTAAACATAGTTTCATCTATGACAAAAATACACATTGCCGTCTAGAAGCAAAGACTAAATGTAACATAGTGTCCTGGATGGGATACTTGAACGGGTAAGGATCTTAGGTAAAAACTAGGGAAATATGAATAGTGGGACTCCGGTCAGGAATAACGCGCCAGTAGTGTGTGACAGATGCACCACACCAGTGGGGACACTGGGTGTGGGGTTATGGGGGCTCCATGTGCTACTTTTCAGTAAACCTGAAACCATTCTGAAGTTAAAAGTTTACTGAAAAGCAATTACACATTCCACAATATTGTTTAATACTTTAAAACCAAGGTGCACAGGTAAAGAAGAGCCGTATGAGGCTCGGCGCCTATAGCTCAACCGGCTAAGGCGCCAGCCACGTACACCTAAGCTGTCGGGTTCGAATCCCCAGCCCGGACCCGCCAAACAACGATGATGGCTGCAACCAAAAAATAGCCGGGCGTTGTGGCGGGCGCCTGTGGTCCCAGCTACTTGGGCGTGGTCGGCGGGAGTTTTGCTTGAGCCCAGGAGTTGGAGGTTGCTGTGAGCTGTAATGCCATGGCACTCTGCCCAGGGGGACAGCTTGAGGCTCTGTCTCAAAAAAAAAAAAAAAAAAAAAAAAAAAGAAGAGCCGTATGAGATGTCCCCAACACCCGGCTTTCTTACTGGTGCTATTACTGGAAAGGGGCCCAAAGCCAAGCATGAACGCTACCCACATGACCAGAGTATGGCACATACTTGTTGCCTTTAATGTATATTATTCAGTGATTCTTGCAGCATATCAGAGGAGACTTACAGATTTAGACGCTTTGGGGAATGCTGGGTTTTTAGTTGGCTCCTACATTAAGTGCCACTGGCCTGGTGGCACCAGCCCCTACTTGGAAACTTACCGCACAGTCTTGCAAGTACTGTAGGAATGTCCTGCATATCTGGGACTGACCCAGTGGGCATTTGCCAAATGACTAACAGGAAAGAATGCACTGCCAATGCTGATGACACTTGTTAGTGCTCAGAGTTTCACACCCACACCTGCAATAGCTAAACAGATTCTAAGAATAAGAAGTAGCCCAGCTGTCAAACACAAGTCTTCCACACTCCTTCTCTCAATACGGACCTCTGTCAAGACATCTCAATTTACGGCATCAATAAGATAGGGTGTATTTGCAATGTAGAAAGTGGGTTCAGATATGGCATCAATAAGATAAGATGTATTTGCAACATAGAAAGTGGGTCTCAGCCAGGCCAGGTGGCTCATGCCTGTAATCCTAGCACTCTGGGAGACCAAGGCAGGTGGACTGCCTGAGCTCACAGGTTCGAAACCAGCCTGAGCAAGAGCCAGACCTCGTCTCTAAAAAATAGCTGGGCATTGTGGCAGGCACCTATAGTCCCAGCTACTGGGGAGGCTGAGGCAACAGAATGGCTTGAGCCTAAGAGTTTGAGGTTGCTGTGAGCTGTGATGTTATGGCACTCTACCAAGTCTGACCAAGTGAGATTCTGTCTCCAAAAAAAGAAAGTGGGTCTCCTCAGATTCCCAGGCATTTCCTATAGTGTCACAATACCCCCTCTCTTATTAGTAGCAGAAACACATTAAGCAAGAATTTATTAATGAAGTTCAACCTATGCCTTTGGTTGAGTCCATGGTGCTGTTCTAGTTTTGATCTGTGTTTCTTTTGAACACATTTTGTTATTCAGACTTTTCCATTTAATCTCCTCACCTGTGGATCTGAGTCACTAGGCTTATTGTGATGTAACTAGATGCCCTCCTTAGAATAGCCAGACAACTTCAAAGCAGTCTCCTTTTAATTAGTGAGGGCATTTTATTCACCAAAGCCTGGCATTCCTCTGCATTTGGTTGTCTTCATGAAAAGGTATAATTATCAAGATGTGAGAGAGAACAGAGTTGTGGCATGGCAAAGGAGCCCAGCTCAGGAGTGTGACCATGCTGCAGACCAAGAGACTCTGGAAGAACAAGTATAATTTTTCAACACGATGGGCTACGTGGAAATTCAGGGCAT